GAACACTTAAGTTCACTGTATTGTATATGCCTGTTCAGACAGGACTTCACAAAGACCTTCTATAAAGAAAACAACTAGCCAATAAAACAGTATTAGAGTACATTATATATGTGACCAATCATTTTATGAAATCTGATGTAAGCCTTCAGGCATAATTGGAGTTCTTAGCAAAATACTTTGGTTTTTAATATTTCTATGACCCTCTAAGGGGGACTTAGCAATTACTCTTAAATTTTCAAAGTGGCGCATGGAGTTTTAGCTGTGTGACTTCCATTAAAACCCATAGGAGCCTTGTTGCTAAAACATCACACGACTCATGAAAAATGTGCTCCTTCTTGTGAAATTGTTACAAGTAATGGATATGGAAGTATAGCACAGCATTTCTGGTACATTTATAGGCTTTCTGCACTTGTTTCAAATTTTATACTTCTATGGAAACTCAACAGTTGTGTAAGAATTGAAGGGGAAAAAAAAAGCCTATTGTGTGTATTCCAAAAATGAAGGTTAAAAAAAATACAGTAGAACTGAAAAAAAATGTTTTAAATAATTCTTCAAGAAAAGCCAAATGTTTAAACATATTTATCCTCTTTATTTCAAAATTAATATATCAGCTCCCAGATTTTTAAAGTAAGTCTTAAAATCAAACTTTAAAAAAAAATGACCTTTAATGACAAATTTTCACCGTAATCACATACAATGATTTGGGGTTTTCAACAACTTCCTCTACTAAAACCTACATAATTTAAGCATCATCTGAGCAAAATTTCACTCCTTAAGATGGTTGGGAGCAGGGGGTCGTTCCCAGTGGATAAGAGTATGGCCTTAAGGTTTATTGAGTCCCCTCTCTGTCAGGAACCTCATAGACATTACTCCCCTGCATCCTTGTGATAAGGGTGCTGTTATTCCTATTAAACAGTCAAGAAAACGGAGGTTCAGAGCCTGCATCTGTCTGACTCAAGAGACCAGATTTCCACCATCATTCTGTGTTGTGCTACATGTATGAACACAGTGCAGCAGCTTTGAGAAACTTGTATGGAGCTGTAGGCACACTCAGCCAAGAAGAGGGTGGGGGCCCTGGGAGGAGACCTTCTTCCAATCCACACTATACTGCACTCCGAATTCTTACGGAGCATACAGCTGCTCAACCTGAACTGCACTCCCAGACGGATCCAGACCTGACTTGCCCGAGCCCGCAGCCCCCGGTGCTCAGCTGAGCGGGTTGGCCCAGCGTCAGCGCTACCTTGCCTCCAAGCATCTGGTGGGCTTGTTGGCCACACAGACAAGGACTTTCGGGATGCAGCCCAGTTCCTCTTAGAGCAGCAACATCTTTGGAGTTCTGTTTCCATGGTCCTTTGGGGGACATTTGAGGCCAGGAGCTGGCCTTAGACATAGATGTATTTGTGTCAACACATTCAGAGAGAGAGAGAGCCTGACTCAATGAGTACTTCTTGAGTTAATTACTGTTGGCTCCGATTCAGCGGTGCAGTGTTTTGCTGTAGATTCATTTACTAAGCAGTATTGTCATTTTTATACATTATTTATTGAATCTCAGGAATATCCTATACGCATTATTTTTTTCCTAGAATCTTATATCTGGATAGTAGATTTTAGGATAGGTTTTAAAAATGGAGAAGTTGACGTAGAGCCAATTTTTAGCATCTGTTGGGAATAAGCTATGCCACTGATTCAAAGTGCCCCAGCTGGGGTCAGAATTAGGGACTGTTTAAATAAGGGGATTTCAGAAGTGCAGGGGAGAATATCGAGGTACAAAATGGGAGGAAATAAGCCATTGTTCCTTTAAAAAGCTTAGTAACCTCGATAATGAGAGGCTATGAACTAATTCTTTTTATAACAGTAACTTCTTAACTTCCCAGCCCTAAAAGCTCCAAGGGTTACTTGCAGAGAGCCCCGGGGCAACACCTGCCTTGCATAGATTAGGGCCCGTTGCAGCTGTCTTCATTTGCAAGACTAAGGTGTAGCTCCAAGAGTCTGTGGGTCTCAGCATGGAGCACTCCTCCTCAATCTCAACACCCTGGCGTTGCGGATTAAGATGGCCATTGCAAGCCAGGCTCAGAAATTGCAAGATGAGGCAGGTAACGATTTCCTGGGTTTTATGTATCAGACCTTACGAGGTATGCAGTGGGAACCCTTTTATACGCCTGCCTTGAATTAGCCATACCTTTTACAATCAGCTCTGTTGAAGAGCAGCTGCCTGAACTATCTAGCATATCCACGGGCCAAGCATGCCTTTGGCACACAAACATGTTTGTAAAGAGCTTGTGAATGTATAGGATGATCTCTTGGGGAAGACAAAAGGGAATGCCCTTAGGAACCTATAGTCAGTCAGCGTTGATCTGGTTGGATATGCTTTTTCTTGCAGTGTGCATTTGTTTCACAGAAAATACAATTAGGATAATTCTTGTGTGTTCTCTACAGGAAGGAAGTAGTATTACTGCTTGTGAGTGGTGGGCTAAATGAGGGAACCATTAAAGGGTTTTTAATAGACTTTTGAACCAAAAGACATAAGGGACTATACTTATGTTGCCTTAATTGAGAAATATTTTGCAATGTGAGGAGACTTAATCAAATTTTCATTACATACTTGGTCAGGGACCAGGCTGAATGTTTCTTTAAGCAATTGGATAAAATGCACATTGAAGACTCGTTAGTTATGTGAGAATGTGTCTGACGTGCTTATCATCTCTCCTGTGGGTGCCTGAGTATCAGATACTTGGTTTACTGTGTTGGGTTGAATGCTTCTGTTCTAATTTCTAATGAACTTTACCACCAGACTACTTGATCATGACTAAGCCCAGGAACAATGCAAATGGAATTGCCCCCTGATGGGGAGGAATGGGCCCAGATGGCCCTTAAAAGGTGATAATTAGGAAATATAGCATATCTGAGTAGCTAGAAAGAGAAACTTGTTAAAGACAGTCAATCTGTTTGAAGCAATGGTCTTTCCCTTAATTATATGCATTTTCATTTAGTGTTGCTTTAAAGTGAAATTTTCCCAGGAAAAATTTTTATTAGTAGCTAAAACCTAGAAACCACCACTTATTTTGCTACTGTGTTTCGGATTATTTTGAAAATTCTTTCCTTCATACATTTTCTGCTTTCCAGATCTGTGTAACAGACTTGCTGTGTGTGTTTTAGGGGGCTGATCTAGGTTATTTTAGCTCTTATGCTAAAACAGTGGGGGAGTGATTAAAAGTGAGAAAAATATTGGTATATATTTGTAAACTGAGCTTTTAAAATTAAAATAGTTACAGGATATTACAGTCTGTGATTTCATATACTTTGTAAGATTGCCTTAAATGTATTGCCTTCTTGGCAGCATAATGCCAGATTCTTCTCCTCGAATATGTCATTAAAATAATTTTACATATGACCAGTTGGGTTTTTTTAAGAATTATATTTTTATCTGAATTAGCTTATTTGCATTTGCCAATGATATCTCCAATTTTACATATGACCAGTTGGGTTTTTTTAAGAATTATATTTTTATCTGAATTAGCTTATTTGCATTTGCCAGTGATATCTCCCATTTGGCTTTTCTTTAGTTTTTTTTTTTTTTTTTAGTGTTACAAACTTGGCATTACTTTAAGAATAACAAGTGAACTGGGAATGAGAAAGTGGTGACATGAAGACGAGAGAAGAAATATGCTCCTTATCTCTCTTCCAGCTCCTGCATGGAATGGAGGATGGTGAAAATAGCTGTTCCTGGAAATTAAAGCATAATGCAAAAGCTAGAGTGTCTAAAAGGCAACTTTTTCCTTATTTGGAAATTCATAAAACAAAATTACACTGAAGTGCTAAATTATATTATTCCGAATATTTTGGCAGTCATATTTTGGCAGATGAGTTACTTTCCTGAAATTACTCAACACCATCATTCATCCTGACAAAAGCCAGTGGTACAGATGCACCTTTGGGATTGAGGCCAAGGTGAAACCTGCATCTTCCAGGTCTGCCCACTCAGGTTTGGAAGGACTCTCTGGGAAATCAGCCTCACACTCTGGGCATTGCCCCTGCCATCCTCAGCAACTACACTCTGGCTGGAATGTAGGGTCCCAGGATCTAGTACTTGGGACTCAAAACAAATTCATAAAGTATCTTCCTTCACTCAAAAATCTCTTATGGAATCTGTGCCATTTTAAGTTTCGTTATTGAACGATGGATATAGTTCATTCTCAGTTTCAGGATTCCAGAAGCATGCTTACCAAGACTGAATGGAGAGGCATCATGCCCTCCTTCAGCAAGCTTCAGGGGGAGATGGGACCCAGGGTGAGCCATGAGTAAGATTTGCAAGATGTTCTGAACTATATCCTGACCTTTATTGACAGGTTGTCCCAAACAAAACAATCTGGCTCGAACTTCTCGTTATCAGTGAAAAACAAAAATCATGTAGTGCAGGTATGCTTGTGGGAAGAAAAAGTCGAGAGGAAAACGGGAGATAAAAATCATTGTTATCTTTAATTCCAGGATTCACAGCAGTGAAGGAGCATGGTTTAAATCCCATGTGCCCAACCATATCTGTTGGATTTTTGAAGATTGTATTCAATTATTTCGACTTGAGTGATTGAAAATAAAATGTTTACTAGACAGTTACATTTATTTACTATTCTAGATATGACCTGTCTTGAAACCTTTATAGTTGAAATTTTTATCCCTCACAGAACAAGCTCTGAAGAGCAGCTTCAACTTTTTCAAGTGTTTTTAAAAAGGGATTTAAATAATAACTGATTGCTATAACGACATTTGGAATTTTGTTTAACAGCAAATATAAAGAACCAAGTTGGAATAGCCCAGGAGATAGATGGTGATTAACTCTGCATTCTTTTTAGACTGTTTTATTAATTAGCTCTCTTAGACTCAGATAGGTTGCATCCTCTGAGCAGTAAATTGCATTCCATTTGCAAGCTCTGTGGATAAAATTTGCATGTGGCCTAAATGCTATCCACATTGTTGTGTTAAGTAGCATTTTATCTCTCTGGACCGGTCCCCTGCCTCCTCCTTCACCCCCAGTGGAAAGTTTTATCCACTCTTTTTGCTGGAAGGGAAGGTTGCATGTAGTTTGGTCATTTGGCGCCATCTTCTTTTTTTATTGTTAAATCCACTAAAGCGGGTCAGGCCTGGCGGTACCAGGCAAGCTCCTTCCGTCCGGTGTTCTGGTTGGCTAAGCATTCAGAGTTCTTTGCTCTTTATTTACATGGAATGTTTTGAGCTTCTGTCTTTGCTTTAAGAGCTGATTAAAAGGAACCTTAAAAAAGGAGGAGAAGGAGATAGTTTTTGGTGTGGGTTTTTCCTGTCTTGAATCTTCCCTGGTTTCTCTCCCCTCTCTAACTCCAGCCCAGTCACCAACTTCCTCCAGCCCCAGCAGCATGGGCTTTTTGTTTATTTGTTTAACTTTGAAAGTATTTTAGGAAGCACATTAATACTGCACAGCTCGGAGGGTAAGACAGAATTGGATGACTCCCTCACCAGCAATTGAAGGAATCATCAGTGTTCCAGTTCTATTTATCATTATGATTGGGGAATGTTTCTGAACAGCTGCCCTTCCGAGGATGTTGGTATTTAGACAGACCTTCCTGTCATTTATCTGACTTGCAAGCACAACTCTTTTGAAAGAATTAATATCAAACTTACATATGAAAATCTACCATTTAATGGGATGGATTCCTTTTCAGTACATACTTTTCAGTTCAACCAGGGAGATCCCATCCATTTTAAAAAATCGTTAATCACATACTTCTGACATTTTCCCTTTCAATTTCCTCAGGGGGAAAAAGTTATTTGAATAACAAACAAACAAACAAAAACCCCTCATCACAAATAGCTGTCAACCTCCTACTTGAACAAAAGCTTTCTCTCATTCTGAGACCTACAGTGTTTTGTTTAGTTAGAGGCAGCAGGGTGGTAGAGACACTATGCAGAAAGGCTTGGGTTAATGAGCACTTTCTGGATTTAGTGTCTCTCCTGATTAACTCTTGGGTTACTTGCTTTGAGTAGCTAACCCTCTCTCACTGCCCACTCCAGAATTTCCAACATGGTGCCTCATCCAGAGATGCCCCTCCCTAGATGCATTGATAGCAGACAGCATGAAAATTTGCAAGCTTAAGCAGAGAGCTTACTTCTTGTTTCCTTGACCTAAGGAACATTTTTGGGGGGGGGAACATTTTCTTAATATCTAAATTGATCTACAGTTGTAAATAAGCTGTACAAACTAATTTTTAGACACAAGTCTTTTGTTCAACTCAACTGTTACATAGAAACTCCAAAAATTTGGTGGGGGGGGGCCAGCCAGTGAATAGAGTTACTCCCTTTACCTCTCTTGGTGCTGCCCAAAGGGAGCTTCGGGGCTCCAAGTTTAAAAATCATTTTTTGTAATGAAATAGGATCCAAAAGATACTCTTTCTTATGACTTTGAATTGGGTTGAGCCATATGAAATTGTCACTATTTGACCAATTTTGACCCAACCCCCCCCAAAACAGCACTAGAGTACCAAAATGTTTTTAGTGTAATCAGGCTACCTCAGCAGTCCTCAATGTTTTTGGCACCAGGGACTGGGGCGGAGCATGGTTTGGGGATGATTCAAGTGCATTACATTTATTATGCACTGTATTTCTATCATTATTACATTGTAATATATACTGAAATAATTATACAACTCACCTGTAGGTTGGGGACCCCTGCACTACCTGATAAGAAAATAGAGAAATGAGAAAGCTTGAGATTTGGACCACAAGTTCCTTATATGAAATAGTGACTCCCTCCCTCCCTCCCTCCTTCCCTCCCTTCCTTCCACAGTCACGTGGTGAGTCCCTTCTGTGTGCTGCAGGTCCTAGGGATGTAGAGATAAAAGCCATAGCCACTGCCCCCAAATTGCTCACAGTGTAAAGGACGGATACAAGATGACCCACATGATGAATGCAGAGGGAGAGTTTCTAGAATCCTGAAAGCATGAAAACTGTGCTGCTCAGAGCTCCAAGTCCCTGAGTTTTTACAATGTTGTTTCTATGGATTGTATCAAATAATAGTTTCAGAAAGTAGCAACCCAGTATCCATCCTTCACAGACAGGAGGTATGGAAGGAAGGACAAACCCAGTGACTGACTTGTGTTCTTCCTTGGTTTGTTCTTTGATTTTAAGAAAGTGCTTAGAATCCACGTTTTCAATGCCAGCCCTGCCCCCTGAGTCACAGTTGCTCCCACTCTAAGCTCCCATCCCATTTAAAAATCATGGCCTTATTTAGATATGGTTCAAATACCCTAAAATTTACATTTAAAAAAAACACAGTTTAGTGGTTGATAGTCTGTTCACAAAGTTGTACAATGATCATCACTATCTAATTCCAGAACATTTTCCTTATCCCAAAAGAAACCCCAAGCCCGTTGGTCATCATTCTCCATGCCCCCTCTTCCCTATGACAACCACTAATTTGCTCTCTGAATCTGTAGAGTTGCCTATTCTGGACATTTCATATAAATGGTGTTATATAATTATGCCTTTTTGTGTCTGGCTTTCACTTGGCATAATATTCTCAATGCATGGCCAGGCGCAGTAGCTCATGCCTGTAACCCTAGCACTCTGGGAGTCCGAGGCAGGAGGATTGCTTGAGCTCAGGAGTTCGAGACAAGCCTGAGCAAGAGTGAGACCCCGTCTCTAGTAAAAATAGTAAAAATTAGCCAGGTGTGGTGGTGCATGGCTATAGTCCCAGCTCCTTAGGAGGCTGAGGCAAGAGGATCACTTGAGCCCAGGAGTTTGAGGTTGCTGTGAGCCAGGCTTACACCACAGCACTGTAGCCCGGGAGACAGAGTGAGACTCTGTCTCAAAAAAAAAAAAAAAAAAAAATGTGTGTGTGTGTGTATTTCTATATATAGAAAATTTTTTTCAAGGCTTATCCATGTTGTAATATTTAGTCTGTTTCCACTTTTTAGCTATTGTGAATGATGCTGCTGTGAACATTTGTATACAAGTTTTTGGTGCCCATATTATGAAATTAATTATGAAGCAACTTCTGTTCATCATTATTAGACCTGTCTCTTCCACCAGGTTTTAAGTTTCTTGAGACTGGACTTGTCCTTGTTCATCTCTGTATCGCCATAGTCCAGCACCTAGTAGGTGCTCAGGAAACTGTTGAGAATGGAACTGACCAATGCAATGTCTTCCTGCCCTTGAAATCACCAGCACACATGACACTGACTGACTCTCTCTCTCTCTCTCTCTCTCTCTCTCTCTCATCTATCTCTCCCTCCCTCCCTCCCTCTACCCTGTTCCCCTCCCTGTAACAAGAGACAGCTTATCAGGAATAGAAGCAGCTCAGCTGCTTACCCATCAAGCCTTCCAGCTGGGAGCAGACCCTCCTTATCTGCTGTGGGGCCTTCTCCAGGATCCCCAGATTTCTCTAGCCTGCCTCATCCCCACAGCAGCAGTGATGCAACCAACTCTGGTTTATGCAGGTACTTTGAGGGAGATTATTTTAAGTACCACTGAAACTGCCACAGAGGCAGGGCTGGTGGAAACCCCAGTATTTGGGGGCACATTCCCTGTTTGACATGGTTCAGTAATGACTCATATATCTACTTTAAGGGGGATTTGGACAAGGAGACACTAAAATACCTATCCGGAGTTTGGCTTGGAAGCATTGTGCAGGAGGTTTAAGAAAGATTATTTTAAGACTTTCTCAGAAGGCCAGAGCAACATCTGTCTGATTTATTCTGCTACCTTTCACTCAGAGCTTGTGATTTCTAACATGTATTTCAGGTTGGATTTAAGAGGCAGAGCTGGCCTCTACTGAATTGGCCACCTTTGATGTTACAGTACTGAGGAGGGGAGGGACAGATGGAACAAAAGTCCTAATTGCCCAAATTTACAATAGGTTCCCAGCAGTAGCCAGCACAAAAGAAATGTTAATGCAATAAACTGTAAATGGAAGGAAGCTAAGCAGGATTTATGGCTGGCACAAACTCCATCAAGGCCCTGGAACCTCCTTTCTTCATCTGTGAGGCATTTCAATGGTCACAGTAGAATTGAGCTCATTTGAAAGTCAGTGGCCACTCTGTGTCCTCCCTGCCTTACATGTCCAGCACTCCCTACACAAACCAATTCCTGTAAAAACCTGGGAATTCTGATAGAACAATTGAGGGAAAATATAAGTCATCGAGGGTGAAGCCTAAAAGCCTAGCAGAGCTAAGAGCAAAACACACATCAGCTGTGAGCATGTATGTGTTACAGCTGCAACCAAAGCATGCATTTTCCTTCTATACGTCTGCACTGGGGACCTTGGCAAACACAGCAGATGGCCGTAGTGTTTCCATGTTTCAGCCTGGAAGCGAGAGGGCAGCGTGTCATCCGCCAGCCAGGCACTCACCCATCCGTGAGGGCCACTGCTATAAATGGCTATTTTCACATTTGGTTCCATTTCCATGCATGCTCACACGTACCTTTACCTGTGTTGTAACATAGGGAGTGTTCCTTGTCTCCTTGTCCAGATTGCTGGCCTGTTTGGTTTGTTAATTAGCTGAGGAACACGGTCTAAATGGAAATTGCTTTCTGAGATCTTCGAGCCCCAGTTCCACGCTGTGAGGGGCTCCCTGTAATTAAACACGTTTGAAGAGTTGTTCTCTTGTGGACAGGCCGTGCACATTGGTGCCTTGCCCACTAGCTGGGGAGCTCTGTGTCAGGCCTTACACTCAAATTTTCTTTTTTAAGGCAGTCAAACTTAGCAGTGGAGGTTGTATACCAACTTCACTGACACTAATGTTAATAAGTTCTCATAACCCATTACCACTGGACCAGTCTGACACTCAATAATGGGTCAAAATAAAAGGAAACTTGTATATCAATTGATTAAGTGTGGGGGATTTTTTTCCCCTTTGGAAATTGGAGGAAAGAACTCCTCAGTGGGAAAGTAATTTTTCCTCCTTCTAAGGTTAGGAACGTGGTTAAGCATTGTGGAGGCCTAAGAGGAGAGGCCATGGGGTGAGGAGATCAGGAAATGGAGATTTCAGCAACATCTCATGAGGCCCTCAAGTGTCTCACTCCTCCCACCAGGAGAGCAGTGTGGCTCTAGAATTATTCTGGAATTCTAACTTCAGAAATAAAGTATCTGTATTTAAAGTTTCAAATAGTACACAAGAAGCTCTTAGGAGCTAGGGCATGGAGGGTCCTTTGTCATTGGGTCCCTTTTTCTGGGAAATCAATTCATTTTGTAAGTAAGAAAAGGTTTCTTTTCTTTACCTATTGCAAGGTTCATGGCTGACGCCCATTGTAACAAAAGAAAGATTAACGAGAGAAAAGCATATAAAATTATTTAATGGAAGTTGGGTTTTTTTTGGAGACAGAGTCTCAATCTGTCACCCCAGCTCAAATGCAGTGGCATCATCATAGCTCACTGCAACCTCAAACTCCTAGGCTCAAGCCATCCTGCCTCAGACCCCCAAGTAGCTGGGACTACAGGTGCACACTAATACACCTGGCTAATGTTTTCTATTTTTAATAGAGACGAGGGTCTCGCTCTTGCTCAGGCTGGTCTCGAACTCCTGACCTCAGGCAGTCCTCCTGCCTTGGCCTCCCAGAGTGCTAGGATTACAAGTGTGAACCATTGCGCCTGGTCATTATTTAATGTAAATTTTATATGACAGGGGAGCCTTCAGATATGAAGACCCAAAGACCCAAGGAAAAGTGTATTTTATGGACAGTCATGCAGAAGTATGATTGGAGGACAAAAAGTATGATCTAATGGTAATAAACTGGCAGAACTTAGCAAGGCATGTTTGCTCAGATTCTTCTTGGTGTCCCCATGTGACATTTCTTCCCTCTGGGTATAGGGCAGGACGCCTGTCCCATGAGGGTCTTCAGGAGAGGAGGGAGAAAGTCAGAGGGTAACCTTCCTGCTTCTG